CCGGCCATGCGCCCCCGCGCCACCCCCCGCGCCCCCTCCGGCGCCCCCGCCGCCGCCGCCGCCGCCGCCGCGCTGGGAGTCCGCAGCCTCCTCCTGCTGCTACTGCTCCGGCCCGGGCACGCGTGCCCCGCGGGCTGCGCCTGCACCGACCCGCACACCGTGGACTGCCGCGACCGCGGGCTGCCCAGCGTGCCCGACCCTTTCCCCCTGGACGTGCGCAAGCTGCTGGTGGCCGGCAACCGCATCCAGCGCATCCCCGAGGACTTCTTCATTTTCTACGGCGACCTGGTCTACCTGGACTTCAGGAACAACTCGCTGCGCTCGCTGGAGGAGGGCACGTTCAGCGGCTCGGCCAAGCTGGCCTTCCTCGACCTCAGCTACAACAACCTGACCCAGCTGGGCGCCGGAGCCTTCCGCTCGGCCGGGAGGCTGGTCAAGCTGAGCCTGGCCAACAACAACCTGACGGGCGTGCACGAGGCCGCCTTCGAGACGCTGGAGTCGCTGCAGGTGCTGGAGCTCAACGACAACAACCTGCGCAGCCTCAACGTGGCCACCCTGGCCGCGCTGCCCGCGCTGCGCACCCTGCGTCTGGACGGCAACCCCTGGCTCTGCGACTGCGACTTCGCCCACCTCTTCTCCTGGATCCAGGAGAACGCGTCCAAGCTGCCCAAAGGTGAGCCTGCAGGCGGGACCCGTACCCTGGGCTGGGGGTGACGGGGAGGGAGCAGACGGCCTCGGGTCCGGCCCGGACGAGGTGGGGGGGGGGGCGGACACTGGGTGCTTCAGAGCAACTGCCCCAGGAGTGTCGCGCAGGCAGGTTCCCAGCCTGAACGTTGCCCGGAGGTCTGCCGGGGACAGCGGGTGGGCCGGCTCACATCTGGACTCTCTGGGGTTTCTGGGCCGGGATGCCATGCTTCTACACCTGTTTCTCCAACAACTCACTTACCAAAGTTAGGGACCTACCATCCCTCTGTTACCCACGTCCGAGATGGACTCATCGGGCTTTGGGTCCTAGTCCTGGTGGGTACAGATTATTTCGGGGCCCCTCCTGAGGGCAAGACGCCCTCCCGTGTGGGAAAGAGCTGAGAAGGATCCAGCCAATTCTGAGGGCTCTCCGACAGCCTCCAGAGCCTGAGCAGGTCTGTTTCTCACCTCTGGTGTCTGAGAGGGATGAGAGGTCTTTCTGGTGAGGAGTGATGGCAGCCTGCTTAACAGCCAGTGATGCAGTAAAGATTCGCAGTTCTGGGGCTTTGCAGCCCAGATGTGAAATAGCGGAACAAAAACCTTGCAGGCCGGTGCCCCCTTTCCTTTCCTGGCGTGCTTTTCCAGTGGCGACATGGACATACGGACCCCTCTGGCAGATGGGGACACAGCGGGCACAGAAGTTAAGGGGCCCTGAAGCGAGGCAGAGCTGAGAAGAAGGGACCCCGGCATCCACAGAGATGAGCCCAGGATGGGGAGCAGGCAGAATGTCCCTACCCTCAGTGGATTCCAGTTTTCCACTGGCGAGCATGTAAGCATCGGTCCTAGCAGTGACCTTGCAGAGCCTCCCCCCTTGCCCCCAAGGCTTTGGCACAGTGGGACCCAGAGCTGTAAGTCACACGTTAGAATAGGTGACATAGATGCGGGTTTCGCTTTGGTGTATCTTTTTTCCATTTCTGGCGATTTCAAGGTCGTTGCTCGTCTATGCCCTGAATTCCTGTGATCCCTTATTCACTCCAGATTTTCCTAAGCACGGCCCCCAGGCGTCGGGGGCAATCACTCCCCAGCAGACGCAGGCCCCTGAGCTGGCATTTTCAGCCCAGGCCGGCTCCGCCACGTGAGCAAGTCCTAAGCAGATGTGACCTGCCTTCACTCAGCCGCCTGGTTCTCCCCACCTCCCCACCTCCGGGAGACAGGAGTGTCCAGATAAAAACGTCATTGTGGGATGGCGGTACGCCCTGGTTCTCACCGCTCCTGCCTTTGCTTTTGGGTGGAGTTGGCCTCCCTAAGCCCTGTTGGTAGTTGAGTTGGCACAATTGGTTCCACTTGCACGAGGGCAAGGTGTTATAGAGTTGGAGGCTCTAGATCTCAGTCTCCCTTCTGCCACGGATGGCTGTGACCTCGCACGGGGCTCGTACCCTGTCTGGGTTTCAGACTCCTCATCTCTAAAGGGCTTTGCTTGAGGGCCACCTGGGTGGCTCAGTCGGTTGAGTGTTCGACTTCGGCTCAGGTCATGATCTCGCAGTTCGTGGGTTCGAGCCCCGCGTCGGGCTCTGTGCTGACAGCTCGGAGCCTGGAGCCTGCTTCGGATTCTGTGTCTCCCTCTCTCTCCCCTCCCTTCCCCTGCTCATGCTCTCATTCTCTGTGTCTCTCAAAAAATAAGTAAACGTGGAAAGAAAGAAAGGAAGGAAGAGCTTTGATTGACCCCTGAGGTGTCTACAGAACCCTGGATGTAGAGTCAGAAGACACAGGTTTGAGTCCTGGTGTAAAAAACCGGGTGAGTCTGGCCAGGTCCCTTAACTTTTTTGAGCCCTGTCTTCCTCCCGTGTGAAATTGGGACACGGATAATGCAGGGTGGCCCATCTGACCGCGTGGTCATCTGGATCAAAACCGGATAATGTGGGCGAAAGTAGAGGGCAGTGAGACGGCAAGGTGCTATTCCTCCCAGGGTCTGTGATAGAGGGAAGAAAAGGGACACCAGATGGGGATGTGTGGCGGGGGGAAAGGATGGACAGGTTCAGAGCAAGGAGCAGAGTCCGGGCCCTGGTTGACGGTCGGTCTGGTTCAGCGGGGAGAGGACAGAGGCGGCGAGGAGGGGGCGCGTGGTCTCCATGGGGGCTGCCGTGAGCGTGGCCAGAGCGGCGTCCGGAGAACCGCGAGCCACAGCGGGGTGCGTGGCGAGGGAACTAGCCCGGGGCCTCGACGCAAGAGGGCTGAGTTCCGATTTTGACTCACGTTTCTCTCTGAGCCTCAGTTTCCCTTGCCTCTGCCTTCAGATTGCAGTAAGAGTGTCCCCCGCGTCGTTTGCGGTGAGGTTTGAAGAAGGTCGGTTCTGGCGAGGGCGCAGCGGTGCTTAGCACAGCAAGGGTGCTCCCTGGAAGCCAGCCGCCCTGTCCCTCCTCCTCGCGCCTTGCGTCTTCGCAGAGGCTCAGGGCAGCGTGGCTGAGGAACCAGACTGGGCCCAAATCCCGCCTCGACTTCTTGCTAGTTGGGTGACCTTGGTCTCCTCCTCTGTGAAATGGACATGATGCCTAGCACCCACCTCCTGGGGTTATTGGGAGGATTAAAGAGGTTTGGTTTATGAAACACCAAGAACAGTGCCCGGCACCCAGCAACCCTGTGGAAGTGTTAGTGCTGTTGTTATTATCCTGTTTTAACAGGAAGGCCCGGAGAGGTGAGGGCACAGAGAATTAACAACAGCTGGGGGGCACACGGGGCCCTCAAGGCTTCCAGCCCCCTGCCACGATGTGGCCACCCACTTCCTGCCGAGGAAAATCGGGCTTCGTGGAGTCAGTCCAAGCTGCAGGGTTTTCTAGACAAGTGCCCTGCCTCCCCCAGGGGGAGGGGGTTCAAAGGCAGGAGCAAAGGGATCCTGTCCTCATTGCCTTTTCCTCGCCTCCCTGTCCCCTGCCCCAGAGAAGCAGAAAGGAGCAGAGCAAGTGACCTTGACAGGCTCAGACATTTACAAAAATACATTCATCCGCCAGGCTAACCTCTCGTGCGGCCGCTGTGCTGACGGGAGAGCTCCCCTCACAGACCACACCACAGCCGGGAGGAAGGGACGTGTTGGGGATGACGGGTCCCCTCCATCCGGGCTCCTTTGGGGCTTAGTCAGGGCTGGGGCTGGGACCTTAGGAGGGACTGCCGGGCTGGGGCTGGGTCTGAAGGAAGAGGAGACCGAATGCCTGCCTGCCGGAATGCCCATCAGCCAACTGAGCCACAAAACAAACAAAGCTGACAAACCTAAACAAACAACCAAGGGACACCTCCCCCAGGATGCCTAATTAACTCTGAACTTCAGATAAATAACGCATAATATTTTAGTATAAGTATGCCTCACGCAGCCTCTGGGATATACTTACACACAAAGTTTTTTGTTGTTTTCTGAAATTCAGCATAACTGAGCCACCCTGGCTCGACATAACTGGCCTGACCTTGCGGTGTGCGTCACTTTGTAGTTTACGAGCGCCACCCCCTTTAATACAACTGGGCCCGGCAGGTGCCTTTGCCCACAGTTTACCCAACAAGATGCAAAGAGGCGGTTTGCGGTCATGTGGTTAGTGGCTGAGATGAGTTTGTACTCAGGAGTGCCTCACCCTACAGCTCACTCTTTCTGGTGGGCAGAGATCAGGGAGGAGGGCGAGAATATCCCCACCCCCCCCCCCCCCCAGTCTCCGATTGCCCTGGGTGACAGCTGGTGGACCTTCCAGCCCCAGATCCCGCACCTGGTCTGGTGAGACAGTGGGTTCCAGGCAGGTTGGGACGGTGTGTTGCCAAGGGGACAGTGACCATCCCTCGTTAGGTAGAAAGGACTCCAGACCTGGAAGCAAGAGTCCTCGGCAACCACTCAGGCGAGCCGCGGGGTAGAGAGGGAGAGGGTGGGAGGGTCTGGAAAGAGGGGAGCAGCAAGGTAACACCCTTGAGCTTTAAAGCTTCGTGCTGGCCCAGCACCTGGTCTCTTTAGCAGCCCAGTGAGATGGATTGGGAATGAAGACACAAGGGAGCTTGGTGGAAAAGGAGATTCTTGGGCCCCCAGGCCTACTGAGTAAGCCGCTGCAGGTAGGGGCCCAAGGTCTGCATTTTTAACCCCCTGCCCTGGGGCTTTCAGTATACACGGAGGCCCCTGCAGGTAGGAGGAGCCCTGGAGGGCCTCTGCATCTCTAGAAACCCAAGGTCTTGTCTTGGGTCAGTAAGCAGCTCATTAGCTGTGTGCCAGTATCTCAGATTTTTCTTTTGTGAACAAAGGAGTGGGTAGGAGGACTTTAAGGCTCCTTCCAACTCTAAAATTCGATGGTTTCAAGGAAAGGGAATCTTGTCCTCATTAAGGATCAGGAAGTTGAGGTGAGGGGAGGCCAGGTCCCTCTAGAGAGTCCTCTGCTGGAATCTAGGGGGCCGTGGTCTCTGTGTAGTAGGGTGGGGGCAGAGCACTCAGGACTCGGGGCTCCCAGGACGCCTCACCTGTCCCCAGCCTAGATCTGGGAGCCACAGGGAGGAAAGGCTCCTGGGTTCGAGAAACCCTAGGGACAGGCAACGGGCTGTGTCTGTGCTCCACTTCGGAGGTGCATGGAGCCCGCGGACTGTCCACAACCCTCACCACGCCCCAGAGTGCATCAAAGGCACATGCGGGTCCCAGGTGGAGGCCAAATTGCCTAGACACCTTCTTTCACCGTCCCTAACCACGGTGCACGTGGCCGGCAGGTCACAGCCCCCGGTCCCAGCGAAGAGATCTGAGCTTATCTTGTACCCCAAGGCCTTGACACAGGCAGCTATGGGGAGGGAAGGAAGGGCTGGGGGTGGGAAGGGGGACAGGGGGGCCACAGGTCATGCTTTGGGTCTGTAACCCTGGTCCCCTGCGTGGGCAGCCTCCTAGAGAAGGTCCACTATAGTGCCTGGAGTATCCAAGCGTTTGGGGGGCCCAGCTCCTGGGGGTCCCCGAGCCCTCTCTAGGAAGGGGTGTCGTGACAGGCAACG